TCAAAAAAAAAAAGAAAGTTTTCCCTGAGGCCCCTTGGCTTTTCCACCCTTCCCTCGGGGCAGCCGAGAAAGGAAACAAACAAAAGGGAAACCCTGTGGTTGCCACCAGCTAATTGAAAAACATATGCACAGATCTTTTAAGACACAAAACCAATCAGTTTTTTTTTAAAAGGTAAATTTTATTAAAAGAAGAAGAAAGGAAACATCTGGAAAATCAGGCTATTGCTAGATGTTATAGAGCAACTGAAAAGGGATTAAACACCAGGAACGGCTCTCTGGGGTCCAGCTTACCGTTACAAAAGAAAACAAAAATACCTGAGCTTAGCACAGAGGATATCCACAAGCCACAATAAAGAAATAAACCTGATCGCGTCTGTCTAAACATCCCCTGTCCCAGTGAATCCTTCTGGGTATGGAAGATAATTTTTCGTACCTGGTTCAAACTTTACACAACATTGCTGTTGCCCCTGTCTCTTCAGCCAAGCGAGAACAACCCAGAGACAAAGGGAAAGCTTTTTTTCCATTTTAAAAAGTTCTAGCCTTCCCATTGGCTCCTTCCGTCAGGTGCCCACTCCCTTTTCTTTACCTGGGGGACTTTTTAACCCTTTACAGATAAAGCAAGCAGCCACCAAGAGGGACTTTATAGCTAACTGGCTGACTGGGTGTCTGTAAAAGGGAGCTACCCGCCCACCCCCCCCTTCATTTATCACAGAGGCTGAGGGCTCAAATCTCCATTCTACAATGTCATTTTGACACTGGAGTGACTGCAAAATTGGTGTAACAGCAGCGAATCAGACCTTGACTTTCACCTTCTTCCGAGCCTTCGGTGTCACCTACACCAATTTGTACCTGCTTACCAACATAACCTCAGTCTAGGTGATAATCACTGTAGAGATTCCCTAGTGCCTAAGGAATTCTATAAAGAGGCATCAGTGATCCATGACAGTGTCTAAACCTGGGGCTTTGGTGGTTATTAAATGGTTGTATACCCTGTAGCGCAGTGTAATTACATGCAATTTTGTATCATTACATGACTGTAGGTTCAGTAGAGCCTCTACTCATATGGGGGGCTTTGGTAGTTATGTGGTCATATGTACCACAGAGCAGGTAATCAGATGGGCGGTTGTGGTTATAGGGTTTTATGCACTGTACAGACAAATGACATGGGCAGTTTGTTGCTGTTTTGTTTTTAACTCTAGGCTGTGCGACATCTGAGGTGGGATGGAGCAGCTTCAGCACACCGTGCCACTTGTCAATTCCTCCTTCTATCAGCCTTCCACCTTCCTCCTGACGGGCTTTCCGGGGCTGGAAGCCAATCACCACTGGATCTCCATCCCTTTCTGCATGTTCTATCTTGTCGGCCTTTCAGGGAACTGCCTGATCCTGATCATCATCAAGAAGACCCAAAGTCTTCATAAGCCTACGTACTACTTCCTTTCCATGCTGGCCGTGATGGACCTGGGCTTGGCTTTGTGTACCCTTCCTACCACGCTGGGCATCTTTTGGTTTAAGATCAGAAAAATTGAGTTCAATGCCTGTCTCACCCAGATGTATTTTATCCATATACTGTCAGTGATGGAATCCTCGGTGCTCCTAGCCATGGCCTTCGATCGTTTCATCGCTATCTCCAACCCTCTGAGATATTCGTCCATCTTGACCAAGCCAACCATCATAAAAATAGGGCTGGCAATTGTTTCAAGAGCTGTGATCTCCCTCTTCCCAATACCCTTTCTGCTCAAGAGGCTAACCTACTGTGGGAGCAATGTGCTTTCCCACTCATTTTGCTTTCACCCTGATATCATGAAGCTGGCCTGCGCGGATATAAAAGTCAACATCTTGTATGGTTTAATTGTCATTCTTTCAACGGTGGGTGTGGATTTTGTGTTCATTGTGCTATCATATCTTCAAATTCTAACAGCTCACAGCCTTTCCCCTTCACTTTGCAATTTAAAGATAGTGAAACCTGCCAACGTACCCAATTCCTGCTAGAAGGGGAGCCGCTGACACCACATGTCTTCACTGTAAAGGACAAGGAGCCATCGGAGAGGTTGCAGGGCAGCAGGCGGTATCTGTTCAAACAGGGAGGCAGGTGTCTTTATGAAGCATGTCTGCACATTCCCTTGGGGCCACTTGGTCATCAGGGAACCTCAGCTGCTTGGCTTTGTGTGCGCCAGCTTTAACACTGTGCCAGCCAATGCAAACTTCAGAAGGCCAATTAACAGGGGATGTGTGTTGATTCTACCCAAGTGGACCGCAGCACAAGCACTGCGGCAGGCTCTGTTCCTGGAATCTGGGCTTGTCATCAATGTTCGTGTGGTTCTGATGAGTCACATGTCTACCTTAGACGGGCACCAAATAATATTGATGATGCTGTCACACTTTGATCTTGCTGAAATAAAATAAAATAGAATAATAATGATAGAAATAAAAATAATAATAGTATAGGACCATATTTTTCTCAGCAGCCTCTTTTCTGCATTAAATTAATAGAGATATCCTATCTCCTAGAACTGGAAGGGACCCTGAAAGGTCATTGAGTCCAGCCCCTGCCTTCATTAGCAGGACCAAGCATTGATTTTGCCCCAGATCCCTAAGTGTCCTCCCTCAAGAGCTGAACTCACAACCCTGGGTTTAGCAGGCCAATCCTCAAACCAATGAGCTCTCCACTCTGGGTACCAAAAGTAAAGGGAGATTCCACAGGGCTCCATACAAGGAAATTTCTCTTAGATCATTCCAGGAGGGGGGTTCCCTTCCCTTGAATGAAAAGGGGGACCCAGTATCCTGGGATCCCCAAAGTTATGCACAGATCTCTGTGATCCACTGGTAGCTAGGCCCACCCACCATCTCTGGGCCTCAACAACTGCTGTAGAATCCTCTCCTGCTCCCTGCTAGCACAGGTTCATCAGAGATGTGCTACCCGGGTTTGTCACAGTAGACACTGCCCGCAGGATCTGGTGAAGGGATGTTTTACAAGGTGGATGGGGATGTACAGAGATGGGAAGGTGGTTAGAGGATCTGATGTGCACCATACCTTAGCCATAGACTGGGCAGGAGGTTTCTACCTTTCCATATACACAGTGATCCATAAACTCAATCAGTGAAACCTTAATTTATGTTCCAAAGAAGAGGAAGATGAAAAGCCTCCAATTTCTCTTGGGGATCCAAAATGTCAGCTCTGTAAACAAATGCTCTTGCCTATCTATCCCTCATTGGGATGGACTGCACCCTCAGCAAGCTTGCGGATGATACCAAGCTGTAGGGAGAGGTAGATACACTGAAGGGTAGGGATAGAGTCCAGAGTGACCTAGACAAATTGGAGGATTGGGCCAAAAGAAATCTGATGAGGTTCAACAAGGAGAAGTTCAGAGTCCTGCACTTAGGATGGAAGAATCCCATGCACCGCTACAGGCTGGGGACCCACTGGGTAAGCGACAGTTCTGCAGAAAAGGACTAGGACTTATTTTGGGGCAGAACTCTGGCCTGTGCTATACAGGAAGGGGGGGGTCAGACTAGGTGATCACAGTGGTGTCTTCTGGTCTTGGGATCTGCCCAGTGGTGTTAGTAGTACTGCCCTGCCGCACGGGGTGTTGTACTGATAACTTACAGAGATTTCAGCTCTGTGTGCCTCATAAGGGTGATTTGGGGCACAGGGTGGAGAACGTGAACTCCTCCTAACACCCCTTGGTGATGAGGCCTGTCATTAGCACAGCCCCCTTTGACGAGGGAGTTCTGGGCCCCTCCTGCAGCTCAGCAGTAAGAGGGGGAATCAGGACGTGCTTTCAGAGAGAACATAAATAATAAAAAGTGATCTCTCTCCTGCCATCCATCTCCACCGTCAGACAAATAGAGGCTAGGGACACCATTCCTTACCCATCCTGGCTAATAGCCATTAATGGACTTAACCTCCATGAATTCATCCAGTTCTCTTTTAAACTCTGTTATAGTCCTAGTCTTCACAACCTCCTCAGGCAAGGCGTTCCACAGGTTGACTGTGCGCTGTGTGAAGAAGAACTTCCTTTTATTTGTTTTAAACTTTCTGCCTATTAATTTCATTTGATGGCCTGTAGTTCTTATATTATGGGAACAAGTAAATAACTTTTCCTTATTCACTTTCTCCACATCATTCATGATTTTATATACCTCTATTACATCCCCACTTAGTATCCTCTTTTCCAAGCCTCTTTAATCTCTCCTCATATGGGACCCATTCCAAACCCCTAATCATTTTAGTTGCCCTTCTCTGAACCTTTTCTAATGCCAGTATATCTTTTTTGAGATGAGGAGACCACATCTGTACACAATATTCAAGATGTGGACATACCATAGATTTATATAAGGGCAATAAGATATTCTCCGTCTTATTCTCTATCCCTTTTTGAATGATTCCTAACATCCTGTTTGCTTTTTTGAGCGCCGCTGCACACTGCATGGACGTCTTCAGAGAACTATCCACGATGACTCTAAGATCTCTTTCCTGCTTAGTTGTAGCTGAATTAGCCCCCATCATATTGTATGTATATTTGGGGTTATTTTTTCTCCAATGTGCATTACTTTAAATTTATCCACATTAAATTTCCTTTGCCATTTTGTTGCCCAAGCATTTAGTTTTGTGAGATCTTTTTGAAGTTCTTCACAGTCTGCTTTGGTCTTAACTATCTTGAACAGTTTAGTATCATCTGCAAACTTTGCCACTTCACTGTTTATCCCTTTCTCCAGATCATTTATGAATAAGATTGGTCCTAGAACTGACCCTTGGGGAACACCACTAGTTACTCCTCTCCATTCTGAAAATTTACCATTTATTCCTACCCGTTGTTCCCTGTCTTTTAACCAGTTCTCAATCCATGAAAGGATCTTCCCTCTTATCCCATAACTACTTAATTCATGTAAGAGAGTTTGGTGAGGGACCTTGTCAAAGGCTTTCTGGAAATCTAAGTAAACTATGTCCACTGGATCCCCCTTCTCTACATGTTTGTTGACCTCTTCAAAGAACTCTAATAAATTAGTAAGACATGATTTTCCTTTACAGAAACCATGTTGACTTTTCCCCAACAAGTTATGTTCTTCTATGTGTCTGACAATTTCATTCTTTACTATTGTTTCAACTAATTTGCCCAGTACTGACGTTAGACTTACCAGTCTGTAATTGCTGGGATCACCTCTAGAGCCCTTTATAAATATTGGTATTACATTAGCTATCTTCCAGTCTTTGGATAGAGAAGCTGATTTAAAGGACAGATTGAAGAGTCTGGAGAGAGTTGCCTGGCAGAACAGAGCCCTGCTGGGCTGCCCTTAAGTTTGATCCTGACTCCCACACCCACTCCATGAGCAGTGAGAGCCACTCTAGTGCTGGAGATAGACCTCACACCCTGCATTGAAATTTCCAACATCACCAAGTTTGGGGGTACCTAGACTGGGGGAGGAGTTGTGTGGGTCCAAAAGAGAGCTAGCAGCAGGCATGTGGAGCTTGGCGTGGGTAACTCCCATGTCTATTAAGAATATGCATGGCCTTGCTTACCCGGTGTGTGCATGTCTCATGCCTGACTAGGGGAGGAGACCCTCTGAGCTGTGCCTCAGGAACCCAGCGGCTCTGTGAGCCCGTCACTGCTCTGTCCGGCTGTCTGTGGCGTAACCCTGTTCCTTACAGCACGCAGCTCTGCAGCCAAATGTCTCTGCAACAGATGGACTGTGTGACCATTAACTAACCCTCAGTGCCTGTGTTTGTGGGTGCTCCACTTGAGATCCTGCCAGTTGTGCCAGCTCCTGGGATTTCATCAGGAGTCTTGCACTATTTCCCGTCTTTCTTAAAGCCCCAATATCTGGAATCGAGACACTGCTCGGGAATCTCAATTTTCAGTTTTGACAGGCATGGCTGTATTTTCTGCTGTCCCAGCAGAGCTCCCCCGTGCGCTGCAGAGAACGGGGATGTCAAGGGGCCAGATAAAGTGGTTTGATTCTCTGTCTACCTCAGTGGAGTTTAGAGCAGCCTGGGGGCTGGGCTGACCTCCACCCGTTGGTAATGGCTTCCAGGAGCATGGGTGACGCGAGCCTCTTCTCGGTGGGGAGGGGAATGAGAATGTCCTTAGCTCCCCTCGCTACGAGGCCCTGCTCCTGCTCATCTTTCCCCCGAGGCCCTGCCACCGCCCAGGGCAGCTGGAGCGTCTGGGGTTCCCCATCATGGCCCTTTCTCCCTGGGAGGCCCTTACCATGGCTTGGCTCTGGCTTCCGGCCTGTCTAGTGGATGGGATTTAGGGGGAAGATGAGGGGGAAGAGTGTGCTTACAGAGGGGACGGGGCTCCTGCCTGTATTCCGCTTTTTCCTTTAGAAAGGGGGACCATCCTACACTGAATGTACTGGGCTGGGATAGGAGCTAGCCAGGCCTCTGTTGGGGAGCTGAGGCTTGTTTTCACCCCTTTGCATTGCTGGGGCAGCACCAACGAAGGGGACAGGGTGGGAATATGGGCCAGAGTCTCTTGCCAGGACTCCTGTGTGTCAGACCCTCCTTCACAGACACAGCTGTGCTCCACATCCGGGGCATTAGGTTAGATGGGGGTGCACTCCGTAGGTGTGCTGAATGCAGAGCCATCAACTGACGTGGAGGGGGTGGGCTGCCTGAATGGCTTCTCCTGGGGTTCCTGTGTTAATCATGTCTCTGACATGACTCAGTCACCAGCACCTGCTGAGGTCGTAGGGGAAGGATGCGTGACTGTGCCCCATGAAAATCCCCTGAATACAGCTGGTGCAGCCCCATGGATCACAGCTGGAGCACCCAGAGCGCTCAGGAAGGGCCAGGACTGGGACTGCAGAACAGCTCTGCAGCTTTTCTCATGGCCTGGGGATGTTTAACCAGAGACAGGACAGTGACAGGCCAGGTGTAATGGGAAACAACATCCACCTCCCTTCTCTTTATTGACTGTATCGAGAGGAATTCTGAGGTCAGAACAACCAGCAATGTGGCAATTTATGGGCCAACATCCCACCGGTCCCCTGGCTCCCAACGAACACAGTCACTTTGAAAATGCTGCTGCCTG